ACATGATGATTCAGCGTACTAAACTGAGCTGGGAGGCATGGTTGTATGAACAGGGGGGCCTTCTAACACCCACGGGGTCAACCAAGGCTGGTCTGAGTTGTGGCAGATTAGGGTTCCATCTAATCTGAAGTTCTTTTTGTGGAGGCTAGCTAGACAATCCATACCTACAGCAGCATTCATGAATCATCGGAACATGTCCACTTCCAGCGTCTGCTGTCTTTGCAGAGCAGTTGACACATGGTGCCATGCACTTCTTGATTGCCCGGTCTCTAGGAGCACCTGGGCACTGTCAAATGAAGCAATCCTTGACAAACTAAGCACTTGTGTATATGATAATGCAAAGAGATTTTTCTTTGCAATGCATGAAGCCCTGAACCAGGATGATTTTCTTGTTTTTGTTGTCACATTATGGGCCCTCCGGGGTTCACGTAGGAAGGCCATGTATGAGGATATCTTTCAAACTCCCTTTGCCATGAATGGTTTCATACAAACATACATCGGAGAGCTCAAAGCCATACAAGTATCAGCTGCACCTGGTACTAGTGCACCATGAAGTCGCCCGAGCCACTGGATCACGCCACCATCTGGACTAGTAAAGATCAATGCCGACACTGCTGTTGGAAGAGGAGGTTCGCATGGCGCTGCTGGAGTAGTCTGTAGAGATCAAAATGGAGCTTTCCTTGGAGCTTCGGTTGCTGTTTTTCCCCACATATCAGACTCGGCCACTCGGGCACACTGGAGTCACTTGCCATCAGGGAGGCACTAGCGTTAGTTGATGATCTCTACGAAAGGAAGATTCATGTGGCCTCAGATTGCAAAGTGGTCGTTGATGACATCCAGCAGAAGAACAAAGGGGACCTATGGGGCAATTGTGCATGAAATAATACAACACACGTCTACCATTGATACATGTAATATCTATTAAAACAAGAGTCAAACAAGCCATCACATTCATCCACACGGTTATAATTATCTCGACCGTAAAGATTTAGATATAAACGGTCAAGATTTAAAGATATAGCGTTACATACAAATATTGTGTACAAACATATTTGCACATCCAAAATCTGCCACGGTCCACTCAAAAAAAAACTGCCACGGTCATTGTATCTATGAAGGAAAAGTGCATGCGTGCATGAGAAGGACACATTCAAAGTCACGTATACTATATTAATTTAAGGTGCAGCTGCTACAACCTGTCACATGTATAATATTGTGAAAAGCAAAAGTAACTTTCCTGGACACAAGGACATAGGCGGCAGTTTTCTTATCAGACCAAACAGTTTTTTTGAGTCCATTTCACACGTTGTACTTGCACCGTTCCAAAATAAGTGACTCAACTTTGTACTAACTTTAGTACAAAGTTGAGTCACTTATTTTGGGACGGAGGGAGTATGATCCATCGCTCTAGCCTCCAGTATCGTTTAAGAATAGTACTATTGTTGTTATGCCAAATTTTAGCGGATGGAAGTGTTGCCAGGTAATTGGGATGTGCCGGCATTCGTTCCATCTTCAGATACATGGACACTGGCCAAAACAGGTGACAAGATGGTTCTCAGGTATACCACGCTGTCCTCCCACCAAGAAGCCTATGTAGCCTCAAACTGGGCTTACTCCTCATTTTTGAGAATTATCCTTCATTTTATCAGCTTGATTTGTTCTTTTGTTGGTAAGAAATCCATGTATTTTAATGTGACTTAGATATGCTTCTAGCAGTCATTAGTTGATTTTATTTTATTAATTAATTTCACGCCTTCAGAATCTGAACTGAAACCATGACACCTATTATGGAAAAGAGGGATAGTTTGCAAACTACTGGAAACCATGTCATGTGGAGATTTATATTGTCATGGTTATATTTTGCCTCTGTTTTATGTGGTTCCTGTTTTCTGCTCGCCATCTTGTTTACAGATTCTTCGTTAGTGCTCCTTTGTACTGCTATCTTGCACTTTGGTTGTCAGATTTAGGCTGTTTGTGATTTGGTAATAAAGTTCCATGGTGTTGCTTAATTTGCCCCTCATTTTTTCTTTTGTTTTCCATACAGGTTAATTGGGGTACAGCTAGGCACATAACTATCGGAAGTAAAGTACTGTTTTAGTTGCTGCCATAGTGACGTCGCTGCGTAGGTGATGGTCACGGTACAAAAGACGGTAGGTTTGTGAACCATGTAACATCCTAACAGCTGAACTGGCTAATCCATGCATTTCAGAAAAAACCTTCATGAAGTTTTCCTTTTATAATTATTGTGTCGATGCTGTGTGCATCATTATATTTTGAGCTTCATTTAGAAGCATTGAAGATTTGGAAGGCATATGTGTCCAATGTATTGAAAGGTTGGAGTCCAGTAACTTTGAAGAGCAGAGTTTTGCTATTTGCATGATCTTACTTATATTATGTAAACCTTGGACACGACCTTGGAGTTTCCTTAACTTAAGTATGCATAATTTGCTGAGTTCTACGACCTTACCCTTATTTCAATTTTAATTGGTGATGTCATTATTTGAAGCCAAGCTTCAGCTTACTTAAATGGTAGGGAGGTCGTAAACAGGTTCTACGCACGGTCTTTTACTGTACTAAACAGGTTCACTCTGACTAAACAGGTTCTACAAACTATCTTTTACTGCCCTTGACTGAAGAAGTAGGTGTTCCGATATATGCTGCACTTGAGGTGAGTTGTGTTCTCAGCTTTACATTGGAATTGACACTCTTCTTCGAAAACACAAAATCAAATTTATATACTAGTATGGCCGCATAACTGTTTTTGTTAGGCACGACAGTGCAGTAGTTGATGTATTTTGGTTTGATTATAAAAATCTAAAATATGGTTTACTTTGGCACCTGGATGGAATTACTGGTAATATCAGTTGATTACTTTGAACTGTGGGATGGTAATTTAAATTCAGGTTTGCTATTTCACATCTAGATGTGAAATAGTTAACTCACATCTAATTTTCTAACCACACAATTTAAACATCAAGATTCGTATTCTTTTGTCCTTTTTCTTTTTGTTTCTTTAGCATTTTTTTTCTTTTGGTGTTGTTTCCACACGCGTTACCCACGTGAGGAGACCCCATAGTGGCATGTAGGTCGTTCTTTTTGATTTTTCACTGCCTCATGGTCGTGGGTTGCCTCGGCGTGGGCTGCAGCCACGAGTAGTTTTTTATTTTCTTTTTTGTTTCTTTTTCTCTTTCTCTTTTTTTGTTTTAATTTTTTATTTATTTTGTTTCAAATTTGTAAACATTTAAATTCTGCAATTTTGTTATTTTCTTTTTTCACTTCAATTTTTTTCTTTTCTATTTTTTTAAATTCATGAATTTTTTTCATTGATGTTAGTTGACTGTCCACCACCAAATAGGGGTGTTGTTAATTTTCTTGTCTCAGTTGCAAGACCACACTCGACTCGCTACTGTGGTCCGAGCTTTTTTTTCTCCCTGTTGCAATATCACCCTTGACTTGCAACTATAGCCCTTGACATTTTTTTGTCTCAGTTGCAAGTTCACTCTCAATTCGCAACTGGAGCGCGGCCAATTTTTGTTCTAGTTGCTAGTCCATCATCGACTCGCAACTAGGGCCCGGTCTTTATTTAGTTGATAGTCCAACCTCGATTCACTAGGGTTAACCTTTTTTGTCCTAGTTGCAAGTCTATCATCGACCCGCAACTGGTCCCAACCTTTTTTGTACCAGTTGCAAGTCCACCCTTGAATCGCAACTGGGGCCAGACCTTTTTTGTGTCTGTTGCAACTCCACTTTCTGACTCGCAACGGGGTCCAACACTTATTTTGTCCTAGTTGCAGGTTCACCCTTGACTCGCAACCGGGCTCTGACCTTTTTTTGTCCCAGTTGCAAGTCCACCCTCAACTCGTAACTAGGCTCATAATTTGTTGTTGTCCCAGTTGCAAATCCGCCCTTATCTCGCAATTGGGAATTCTTTTGTTTTCCATCTCAGTTGCAAGTTCACCCTCAACTTGCAACTCGTATCATTGTTTTATATACTTCTCTTAGTTGCAAGTCCACCCTCGACTCGCAACTAGGACGCGGCATTATTTTTGTTCCAGTTACAAGTCCACCCTTGACTCGCAACTGGGCTCTGACTTTTGTTTTGTCCCAGTTGCAAGTCCACCGTCAACTCGCAACTGGGTTCTGACCTTTTTTTTTGTCCCAGTTGCAAGTCCACTGTCAACTCGCAACTAGGCCCATAGTTTGTTGTTGTCCCAGTTATAATTCCACCCTCGACTCATAATTAGGCACGTAATTTGTTTTATCCCAATTGTAATTAGGCATGTAATTTGTGTTCAAAAAATATTTGACAATTCAAAATTGTTCATAATTTGCAAAAAGGGTTTCAATTAATTTAAAAATGTCTTCTAATCTCCACCTTGTACTGTGTTCTTACACATTTCCCGTTTCATTAAATTGGCAGCATGTAATGGTTGGAGTGGTAGAAGACGTTGTTCCTAAGACTGAGGTCTCCAGTTCGATTCATGTGTCGGTTAGTGCGCCAATTGTAGTTTTTTTGGGAGCGCTCCAATCGGCCAGATTCCTGTGTTAGGTAACGTGTCACTTGTAATTCTTTTTAGCGTTCCAATCGGCCAGCCCGATGAAAGAAAGAAAAAACAAATAAGAGAACAAAGCGGTGGGCTGGACCAGAACTTAGATGTGAGATAATATCTCACATCTAGATGTAATATAGATAGACCCATTTAAAATACTATCAACATTCATTGTTTTACAGGATGTGGTCTCTTTTGAATTTATTAAGGAGACAGTACATTTAGGGGTACAAAGTTCCAAACTCAGGAGGTTCTAGGATCCATAAACCGATGACCCAAACAACAGACAACAGAAAGAAACTCAGGAGATTCTAATATCTATAAACTGATCCAAACGCAAATAAACCGAACCCACACACACAACAACCAAGTTTTTATTCCCCTTCTCGGTTTATTTGTGCCCTCTGCATGCAGCAGCAGAAATCATGGAGTTCGTGGCTCGCCGTCGAGCTAGTCATGGCAGATCTTGAAGGACTGGAGCACTTCCTCCCTGCTGGCGTCGGCCGCGTCATATGCCTCCATGAATTCGCTGAAAGCAAATTCCCTGTACTTGGCTGGATTCATCGCCTCGTGCACCATCTCTGACGCCGGTCTGATGCGGCACCCGTCTGTGGGGTGCACGTGCGTGGCCACCGACATCCTCGCCACAGCGGAGTTGGTGACGGCGCGGTGCTCCACGCTGGCCAGCACCCCATTGGTGACGATCTCCATCTGGTGGCCGAAGTTGACGACGAATGCGCCGGGGATGGGGTGGACGAGGAGCCACCTGTCACCGTGCCTTGCCTGGAGCCCAGCGACATCAGCCTGGGAAAGCACGGTGAGGAGGTGACGGTCGCAGTGCGCGAGCAGGCCCATCGTGACGGTTGGGTCAGGGCACGGCGGGTAGTAGTTGACGCTCATGTGCGTGTCGCCGCCGCTGAGGTCGCCGGCGAAGAAGCCGCCGTCGAGGCCCAGCCCCTCAGCGATCAGACAGAGGATGGTCTGGGCCAGCTCGTGCACTGCCGCCGAGTACTCGATGAGGCTTGGCGTGAAGTTCGGCGGCTTGGACGGCCAGTGGCGCGCGTTCTCGTTGGAGGCCGGGTAGCAGCGGAACTTGATGTAGTCGCGCCAGTAGAGGGTCTCGCCGCGGTCGTAGGAGGTGCTGGTGGCGAGCCGGAAGCGCTTGCTCATGTCGTAGGAGCAGTAGGGGAGCTTGTCCTCCGCCAGCATCGCGAAGAACTCCGCCGCCGCCTCCCGGAACCCCCGCACCACACCCTCCCCCACGCCGTGGTTCACCACCTGGAAGAAGCCATACTCCTTGCCGGCCCGGATGATCTCGGCGGCAACCTGGTGACGGTGATCGTCGGAAACGGGGAGGCGGCCGCCGTGTAGATCGATGACCGGGAAGGCAACGTCTGGGCTGTGGTCGTCGGAGAGCAGGGCGGGGCGCTTGTCGGGTGGGAAGACGTACCTGTCCGGCACGGAGCGGTGCACCGGGGCATTGGACAGCAGCTCCATGGCTGATCGATCAAAGGAACGCCAGTAGCCTCACTGAGTGGAGAGACCAGCTAATTAAGAGCATAATTAAGATGCGTTCTGATTAGCAAAGGACACTTGAGTATATGTCGCAAGTGTAGTTAATTAACAAGATGCTCTGTGCCTGCGAGTGGTGGGGATCACTGTCGGTTGTTGGGTCATAGCTAGCGTGATGTGCACCTACTACCTCGACATCCGTGCACTCGTCCACAAGTTGATAAAAATTCTGAAAAAAATTCTGTAAAATTTAACCCAGAACTTTAAACATTCCTGTAAAGAGAAAAACGGCAAAGCGCTGGACGGATAGTGGCTAACCTACATTAGAGCATGGCCGCGCGCGCTTCGACATGTTTAGCGCGGCCGCCAGCGCTGGCTCCAGCAGCCGCGCTATAATGCAGCGTGCGCGCCGCTCCAGCAGCGCACAAAAATACAGCGCGCGCGACTCGCCGGGCATTAACATATGTGATATTTTGGACATAAAATAAGTTTGAAACATTCATCAAAATGCATTGAACATGTAAAATTTGACACAAACAAGTTGATGATGAATAAAAGTTCATGCCCACAAGTTCAAAATCATGCTCACAAGTTCATCCAACCAAGTTCAAATGCAAACTAAAGTTCAAGACATGACACATCGATCTTCATCTTCCTCGTCTTCGTCCTCATCTTCCGAAGACGACTCTTTCGCCTCCGAAGATAAATCTTCCTCCATCTCCTCATCACGCACCGCATCACGTGAAGCTCCGACGGTGTTGGCAAGATCTTCAACGGCATCTTCATGGAAATGTGTGTGAGAAGGCACATCGAAAGACATTTCACCCATGGCGGCCGGAGGTGCACCCATGCCTCCCATGAGAGAAGCAAAACTCATGCCTCCCATGGCGGCCATAGCGTCGGAGGGTGCTCCAAAGCCACCCATGCCTCCCATGGCCGCTGGAGGTGCACCTTGAGGGCATTTCGTCGAACACGTGGTGCGCGTCGGCGGCCGGCTCAACGAGTGAGCTCGCCGACGCTTCGGTAGCCGCCGCGGCCGTCTATCACACCATGTGGAGCCATCGATGCCCCGTCGGTGAGCGAGCGCCGCCGTGATCTTGTCTAGTCGAGTGGCCACGCTCCGTCTTGGTCGCCCCGGCCATACTTGCGCCTAGCACTCATCCACAAGTCCTCTCTCTCTCTCTCTCTCTCTCTCTCTCTCTCTCTCTTCAACGCAACACCTTTCCTCCATCTAACTTTCTGTAAGGAAATCTGCATGTTACCACTCGATCGAAATGATGTTTTTTCTTGTCAACCTTGTGATGTAGATGCGAGCAAAGTCGCTGTGACAACAACAAAACTCCGGACAATGGGCCGACCGACAGGTGTATGTTTCTGAAGATTCACACGAGCCAATGCAAGCAGAGGTTAGTGGAAAAATAATATATGCATGAATGCATCAACATTTTTTTCTTTCAATGCTTCCTTCCTTGCGTTGGTAAATAGGCTTTCGCATTGCCACATGTCTCTTGTTATTAGAGTTGCAAAGCGGTTGAATTATTCAGTACAATAGCTTAAGCTTCAGAGATGACGAGGGCCATTTGATAGTGTTTACGACCACAGATCAATTACCTTGAATGGTATGCTAAGTTTTGTGGGCAATTCATTTCAGTGCAGTACCTTTTTAATGAGTTTCCAGGCTGCCGAATTTGACAAGTATTTTTTTTAGTTCATGAATGATAGTGTTTCCACTGGAAACAAACACGGTGTTTTGTTACTTTTTGTATAGTAGAGCAAACACCCTGTTACTCATCTGAATTGTCTGAACAAATTAGGGGTTCATAGTAAAATCATATCCTGTATATACCATTTCTTTTGTCTTTGACACCCTCTAATATTAGGGTACAAAATAAATCGTCATAATGAATTCTGGTTGTGAGCATCCTACTCCTACCGAACAGACATGGCATATTTGTATTCAGGCAATTCGTGCTTGTCATGAAGAAGTCTGAAAAACATGTGCACTCGTAGCTAGAGATAGACTAGGAGCTTGTTGCATGCCTTTAGTCTTTACTTGATCACAATGCTCTAGTATTTGGCATGTAGAATTTTGTTCAGGAAACTCTGGGCGTTGACATGTTTGGTACCAAATGCATTTTCACTCATGTAATAATCCATCCATTGCAAGAAATTAATGTTTTTCACTCATGTAGTTCTGCCGTCGATGCATTTGTTCCCGACGCGTTATGCTGCCGAAATTTCTGGCAAATATTTCCACGACTTGAAAAATGATGTCGCGGTAAGCAGGCTCTCATAGTCATCCCAGCCACCATCACTAACATCATCAGCAACACATTTACTCTATGAGTGAGTTATATAAACAAAAAGCAATGCCTTAACTAAGTTCTGCTGCGCAGTGCAAATTCTAATCTAGAAATAATTCCATAGGTAAGATCCGCCAGAAAGCACAAAATGGAAGACATGGTCGTGGAGTCATTGTAGCGCCGCTGTGCATGTTATGATTCTTTCCAACACGTTATGCTGCCGAAATTTCTGGCTAGAATTCCCTCGACTTGTTGAAATTTTGGCCTTGTTTGTAATGAAACGGAAACTTTAGGGGGTTGGATGCAAGATATTAGGGACTTGGCTACAATATACTGCTATTTTCTGAGGACCGAAAAGGAACTTTTCTTCGAGGGCAACGTCTGGGCTGTGGTCGTCGGAGAGCCGGACGGGGCGCTTGCCGGGCGGGAAGAAGTACCTGTCCGGCACGGAGTGATGCGCTGGGGCATTGCTGTCGATGTTGGTGTTTGTACGTGGCGACGACGGTGCAGGGTAGGGTTGTCGAGGTGTTTGCAACAAAGATGAAGACTGCAGCTAATGTTCCTCCGTCCAATACAAATTAACAACACTTTGCAGAGTCTTGTACGGTGAGCTGGTGTCGTCATTCTTCAGTTAGTATGATGCAGTAGTACAAAACAGGGGAGCACAATCTGCATCCGTTCAACAGGCTCTGCTATAAGAAGATTCTTTTCACTCTGGTAACAGTCTCAAGCTGAGATGAAATTCAGGAGCTCACCGCCTGTAGCAGCAGTTTCAGCAGATACCCTCTGAGCCTCCATCCACCTCCCGCCGTCGGCCGAGTGCTCTTCGGAGGGCAGCATCAGCTGGTTGGAGCTCACCGACGACGGCGTCCTCGCCGAGCAGGTCCACGAGAGCAGGAGGCTCGCCTCGCTGCCAATGCCATCACGTCCACGTCTTTCACCAGGCAGCCGGCAAACCCATTCAGAAGCTCCTGGGCAACGTGCGCGTATCCCGACGGCCACTGTGCGGCGGCCTTAAAAAAAACCTGTTTTAGAGATTGGGGGTTATTTGATGCCAATAGCCTCATTTGAGGGGGAATTCTATGCTTTTCTCTATTTTTTCAGAACATTGTTGATGGAACTTTTTTTTTGCGGGTGAAATGCCAATAGCCTCATTTTTTCAGAACATATGTTTCATGGGCCTCTTCTGGCCCGTCCTCACCTGGGTACAACGTTGCTGGACAAGCACTTCAATCCGTCATTGATGTGAAAGGCAAAGGCCCATATGTTGGTCAGTGCCGTCACCTCACTCCTCTGTTTCTACAGCAATTTACTATGCCTATCTAAAAAAAAAGCAATTTACTATGCGATCTTCTCAAAGAAGAAACGAAGCAATTTACTATGCCAATGTCTACCTAGCTGAGTTGGTTCAAAACCTAGCTAATGCTTCCTTCCGTATCGGTTCCTACGGGTTCAAGCGGTAGCCCGCTTCATCCCGTGAAACTCATCAATTATGCTCACAATTTGCTCATTACTCTGTGAATATATTACGTGGATGACAGGGTATTACAATCACTGGCGGAGCTTCCAGCAAAAGATTGGGCGGGCCGCAGTGCAAAATAATATCAATGTCTGATGTTTCTGGGCTCATGAGCTGACTTTCATAAAAGAAAATGCTACAAAGCTGGGCGGGCCATGGCCCATGTAGCCTTGCTGTAGCTCCGCCACTGATTACAATCCTGGAGGATCATGCCCATTATTGATCTTGACTTGATCATCGCAGCCGGGCAACTGTTCTCTCCTAACACCTTGCAAAGTTTGCAAGGGCCTGACGAACCCTATTTTTCACTCTTATCAACCTTCACAAGATATACCATACGTTTACGTGACGCTGCCACATGAGTCCTTCAATCCCAGTACATCTGGAACCATGTTCTGCAAGCACCTTTTAAATTTTATCATGTGAATAGGAAAAAAAAAACTCAGATGGTTGTGATCGGCGGCAAGACCATCTTTATTCCACTCGCTTAACTTTCTTGTCTATATGTACATCTAGGAGTAGTTTTTACTGCCTCCTGCAGTGTAACACTCAGCTTAATTTTCTTGTAACACCTCTGTTTTATTTACCCTGCATAATTTAGTCCAACTTTCTAAACTTCAACCAGTTTATAGAACATCTGTAATGCCAAATTAATCCCAATATATTTCCAAATCATATGTACTTTTAATTACAAATGTTCATCTTGTTTTTTATAAACTTAGCCAAACTTTATAAAATTGTACTTATGTCAAAGCTAATATGCATAGTAATTAAATAAAAACAGAGGAAGTATATTTGTACATCTGGGAGTAACACAACATATTGGATAATGTGTTGCGGAATAAATGCATCCCTCTGTCCCTGGAGAAGCCAAACCACCCTTTCAACAAGCCCTAATGCTAGTCTACTCTCCTATTTATCTATGGCCACACTGCGTGCAATCATGAAAACCCACCTTACAAAGACAGCGTTAAGCCAGTGCCACCAACCTGGTTACCAAACTTGTTTAATGAAAATTGGTCAATTATTTAGCCCTCTACACTAGCTAATCTGCGTATTTCGTGTGTGTGGCTTGTACTTTTAAGCTTTGTGTAGATTAGAGATTAGTATTGTACTTGGATCACGGTGACGCAACCTGCAGAAGGACAGCCGCCGTACTCTTTGCATACATGTGTAGGTGGCTAGCTGTCCAATGTCTTTTTTGCAGCAACATTTGCATAGTCAACTGTTTGGACGGCTTTGTACTTAGCAACACCAACCACTACCTTTTGATGGGCCCAAATATAGTAGCAACCAGCTGTGTAGAGAGTCAATTTGCTTCGTATAATCAATCATGCAGTACACTTAACAATGAACGATCTCAATCATACATTACACACATATAGGTTATCATATAGAGTATATGAACAGTATGGCAACCCTGATAAGTTCAAAGGGACATGTTTCGGACCATGTATATATCATTATTCTAAATATGTTAGTTAGACTTAAGCCACTAGTTTTTCACTAAGCATTAAACCAAAGCATCACCTCATAAACATAACCAACCGTCAAACAAATAATGCTATACATTAATCGTGATGAGTAGATCCATCGTGGAAAGGAAATATTCCTACTCGAAAAAGATAATTGAAGTTTAAAATTTGAAATGAACAAGCAATGTCTGAAATAGATTATGGAAGCTCTACTAGCTAGTGATCTGAAATGATAAGAAGTTGCACCATATGAGACAAGTCCAGACGATGACTAACCCCTTATCCCCTCCTGGTGGCTGCACACTCGATGTTTTATCTGCAATGGCAGACCCACCATCTCAACAAATTCCCGATCTATGGACTTCATCATGATCCACAATTCTGATGGTGTCTGGGGCATGGCAAGTTGTTAGTGGTAACACATGGGACATTGTCTCTGATGGTTCTCGTCAAGTACTAGATCTTGAGTTCAAGGGTGAAAACTTTAGGTCTAGCCTTCACTCGTTGTACCCAGTAGTGGTGGTTTATGCTCTGTTGTTGAAGTCATTTGTCTAAACTTTGATTGGATTTTCTCTTTCGGGGTGAAAACCCATCATTTGTCCTTTGTGATTTGATCCCATGACGACGACGTTCATGCACAGTTTCCTGCTGAAGGGCCACAGTCGGAGAACCTTCTCGTTAGGGTGCTATCAACGACTATTGCAGCGGTTGATGTTTTTGCTGCAGTGGGTCATTCGTCTCTCCTTGACTCCTACGGGCAATTCTTGTTTTAATTCTTTTTCCTGTTGGTTGGGTGTGTCCTAGACTCCTGTTCATTTGTATCCCCTTGATGTGGCATTATGAATCAACAAAAACGTTATTTTTCATCGACGGCGGTTGCTATTCTGGGGTGCTGGTCCTGTGGGGCCTTAGCAGCAAGACTTCCCGACTGTCTACTACAACAAGTTATGCCCGGCTCCGGCGATGGAGGGGCGATGACGGCAGCGCGCCATCGGCTCGCTTCGGTGCTTGTAGTCGTCGCTAGGTGGTCTACAAATCTGGATGTAATTTTTATTTCTGGTATTCGTTGTACTGCCATGATTGAAGATGAATAGATTGGAAGTTTTTCCGCAAAAAAAAAATGAATCAACAAAAATGTCCTTTAACGGAAAAGAAAAAGTACTACACCCACATCTCTATAGATGCAGCTAGGTTATTTCCAACAAAATCAATAATCTTAGTAATGTAAATTTAAAATAAGAAGAAAATTTTGCGTCAATCTCCATGCAAGATCAAAGGCATATAGCGTCGATTGAGACATACCCAAGTCTCAGTCGACTGAGACAGACGTAGCAAAACTGTTAAAATAATTACTCTCCCAAGAGGCAAACAACAACGTACGGAAGATAAGATGTACGTGAGGTCAGTAGCTAGCTGTCCCCTTCTAAGTATGCATATGCTGTCGGTGTCAGGGTTGACAAAGTTGCGCGCCAAGTGTGTGTGTGTGTGTGTTGCAAAGTCAGAGGATCGACTGCGTGCAACGTACACGTCCCTTGGGTTGGAGGAAGACCAGAATGCAATGTGTGTGTGTGTGTGTGTACGTATGCCACCATGGTCGTTGCCACGGGCCCGCGGCCGTTGGATCGCGGCAAAAGTTGCACGCAACAAACTGAAACCGTGTGCACGGCTGCACGCACGTACGTGATGGGTGCTTCGTCGAGTTGCTTTGTAGTAGGACGTACTATAGCTAGCTGACCTGGTGGTCTGAAGATTCTATTACCCCTACAACAGATACGTCAATCACTTCGTTTGTATTATCAGTTCACTGCAGCTAGCAACACAGAGCAGCACATGCGATTGCCAGAAGCAGGCGGAGCACATGCACGGAACCTTGAGTTCCTGACGAGTTGCTGTTAGTAGCACGTACTAATTAAGAGGAGATCTGAACTGAAACTGCAGGAAAACAGAAACTTGCAATGTTGCAGGAGCTGCAGGTCTGGCCACGTACGGCCGCGGCAGTGCATATTCTGATCTGATCCTTGGTCCGTTCCAGGGGGCGAGGGCGCTGAGATGCGCAAGGCGACGAGGCTAATCGCGATAATTAATCCCTCTCTTGACTGCGTTGCACGCCCGTTGTTTAATCCCAGTTGCCGCTGCCATGATTCCGTCAAATTGCAATAATACATTCTTCCGTCTGTCAGCTGATCAAGAGAGAAGATGCAACTTGATCCCAATGTCAACTCCCTTCCTTCCTTGTATAAATACCCGACCGATCCGGGATCCAAAGCACCAAGCGACAGCCATTAGCAACTCCTGGTCACCACTGCAAGTCATTAAGCTTAGCTCCAAGGGGCAAAGCAAAGAAGAAGGCTAGCTAGCTCGATCAAGCTAGACATGGAGGTGGAGGCCGGCTCTCATGCCGACACGGCGAGCAAGTTCACGCTGCCGGTGGACTCGGAGCACAAGGCCAAGTCCTTCAGGCTCTTCTCCTTCGCCAATCCGCACATGCGTACCTTCCACCTCTCCTGGATCTCCTTCTTCACCTGCTTCATCTCCACCTTCGCGCGGCGCCTCTCGTCCCCATCATCCGCGACAACCTCAACCTTGCCAAGGCCGACATCGGCAATGCTGGCGTGGCATCCGTGTCCGGCTCCATCTTCTTGAGGCTCGCCATGGGAGCCGTGTGTGACCTGCTTGGGCCACGGTATGGATGTGCCTTCCTGGTCATGCTCTCGGCTCCCACAGTCTTCTGCATGGCCGTCATCGACGATGCGTCGGGGTACATCGCTGTCCGCTTCCTCATCGGCTTCTCCCTCGCCACCTTCGTGTCGTGCCAGTACTGGATGAGCACCATGTTCAACAGTAAAATCATAGGCACGGTGAATGGCCTCGCGGCGGAGTGGGGAAACATGGGTGGCGGCGCTACGCAGCTCATCATGCCCCTTGTCTTCCATGCCATCCAAAAGTGTGGTGCAACACCCTTTGTGGCATATGGCGTATCGCCTACTTTGTGCCAGGAATGATGCACATCGTGATGGGCCTACTTGTGCTCACCATGGGGCAAAATCTTCCAGATGGCAACCTTGCGAGCCTCCAAAAGAAGGGAGACATGGCCAAGGACAAGTTCTCCAAGGTCCTTTGGGGTGCCGTCACTAACTACCGCACGCGGATTTTCGTCCTCCTCTACGGCTACTGCATGGGCGTCGAGCTCACCACCGATAATGTCATCGCCGAGTACTACTACGACCACTTCCACCTTGACCTCCGTGCCGCCGGCACCATTGCCGCTTGCTTCGGCATGGCCAACATCGTTGCACGTCCTATGGGTGGCTACCTCTCCGACCTTGGTGCCCGGTACTTCTGAATGCATGCTCGCCTCTGGAACATCTGGATCCTCCAGACCGCTGGGGGAGCTTTCTGTATCTGGCTCGGTCGTGCATCTGCTCTTCCCGCCTCGGTGACTGCCATGGTCCTCTTCTCCATCTGTGCCCAGGCCGCATGTGGTGATGTCTTTGGTGTGGCACCATTTGTTTCTAGGCGTTCCCTTGGCATCATCTCTGCGCTGACCGGCGCTGGTGGCAACGTGGGTGCGGGACTCACACAACTTCTCTTCTTCACTTCGTCGCAATACTCCACTGGCAGGGGTCTTGAGTACATGGGCATCATGATCATGGCATGCACTCTCCCCGTTGCTCTCGTGCACTTCCCTCAATGGGGCTCCATGTTCTTCCCAGCCAGCGCCGACGCCACCGAAGAGGAGTACTACGCCTCCGAGTGGTCAGAGGAGGAGAAGAGCAAGGGTCTTCATATCGCAGGACAAAAGTTTGCTGAGAACTCCCGCTCGGAACGCGGCAGGCGCAACGTCATCCTTGCCACATCCGCTACGCCGCCCAACAACACGCCCCAACATGTATAAGATCCAAATTTTCTTTTACCTAAGATATGTACAGCTCGCGGAGTATATATACACATCGTATATATCTGCGCCTGCAACCCCATGTAGTTCCGCCAGTATATGTTAGGAAACGTTTCTTCATCGGTACGCAAGAATTGTGTATGCACGCAAATGATGGTTTGCACTATCAAAGTGGCCTGAAATTACATGAACAATTCTGAAATGTTGTGCACTTTCGTTCTGACTCGGAGCAAATTCAAATATGTGCAGTTCCACGAGGCTGTCCAGGAGGTTTGCACTTACTCATAGAGCCGAATTTTTGTTCAATAGGAAGCTTCTTTCTCCAGAGATAATTAAAAGAAACCACAACTTCAGCTCAACTTATAACATTTAACTACAACCTTTGGGTTTAGTTTCACATAATTACTACTTCTAGCCTAACTATCAACACCAAGCCTAAATCTTGTCTTTGACCCTTCTAACAGCAAATCTGACTGATCAAGCCCACATGCTAGGCCCTATGTGGCAAAAGACACTACGCGTCCAGCTCCTACGTGGGAGGGACCGGGGAGAATCGGTCATATGGCAAGTGCTTCTCTAAGCACGAGGACGGGTGTGCTCTTTATCTAGGTTTTTTTGTTAGCGCTTTGATTCGCTCTGTGCCTTGTATTTAAGTTGGTATATTCAGTCGTATTTGCAACCAGTCAATCACTATGGTCCACACATGCTGCTCAGTTTTATTGAGGGGCTAAAGCACTTTATTCTTCAACAACGTTTACAGCAATACATGTAATATCTGGGGTACTCAATATATAACCACAAATACCGTCCATGATTAAGAGAAACCACAGCCTTTGCTAAATTATGCGCTTCAAAATTGGACTCCCTTTTCTCGTACTTGACCAAAACACCACCTAGTTCATCCGTTGCCTGGACCTCCCCGATAATCATGCTATTAGGTCCCAAATAAATTGACTTCAGATGCTTCACTGTATTCAAAAAGTCCCTTGCCAGACGACACACGCGAACGTTGAGATCAGCCGCAAGAGAGAGGCCCTCCCTTAATTAGTGCTACTGCCTCAAGAGTCTCAGGATCATTCATATGAAGAAACACCACCGATAAAACCCCAAATATAAACCATTTGCATCTCTTCATACAACAACACAAGAGCCCTTATCTCGGTGTCTTGAAAGAGCAGGATCAACGTTTATTTTGACATGGCCCATCTCCGGCGCTAACCATTGACTCATTACATGAGACATAACCGGGGCAATCTTTTGAGCTTTCTCCGGGATCAAATCCAAGTCAGCAAGATATGTTGTGATAAACATTAACATTGAAAGAGGCGATTGGTATTCTTATTCACCGATCACCTTCCTACTGACCCGCCATATCGCCCACAACGTGACTAGGTCTTAACATAATCAGCTTGTCCCACATACTCCTGGAGGTAAATCAGCCACAACCTTGCATCCAGATTCTTGCTCTCTATTACGTGTTCCGCTAACTCCTCATCTAAAAGAGATCGCACACACTTCGACATATGGCACTCAAACAAAGCATGTCTCCAGGTGTCCTCTACACAATTGCAAATTGTGTGCAGATCGGACCCCAACATATTTCTGTGCATCCTCACCGATTCAGTGGGAATGGAATTCCAAGCCAATGTCCAAGAAAAATGCTTAAGCTACAAATTACCTGATACTTCCAGAGCATCGGCCATTGCTTCCTACTTGCAACAGTATCTGACATAGCCGCCTGGCCTTCCAGCTAGTCCAGAGGCCTAGTTTTGGTGTCCAGCAAGAGGCGGTAGGCCGAACGAACCGAAAACACGCCATAACACTCATATTGCTATGCCCAGTAGTCGTCAATATTTCTGGTGGTTAAAGGGATGTTCAGAATCATCCCCTTAACCAAAATAGAGCAATTTACGATGGCAGAATATCTTCCATCATCCATGACAAATGCGACGAGTCATTTTGCCAGCTTTACGACATGCACTGTTTTTCTCTACGAGGTTGTTTTGGGGAGGAATATAGTACGTAGATAACAGGGTATCATAATCATGGAGGATCATGTCCATTATTGATCTGGACTTGATCGTAGGCAGGCAACTGTTCTCTCCCCAAACCTTGCAAAGTTTTCAAGAGCATGACTAACCGTATTTTTCACTTTATCAACCTCACAAGATTTACCGTATGCTTATGTGATGCTGCCACATGAGTGCTCTTATCTCAGTACATCTGGAACCATGTTGTGCAAGCACATTTTAAATCTTATTATGTGTACAGAAAACTAAATTACTCAGATATGATTGGCAGCGCGACCATCTAAACTACACTCGCTTAACTTTGTTGTATATATGTACATCTAGGAGTAGTTTTTCCTGCTTCTTGCCGTCTAACCCTCACTTATTTTTCTTGTACTCCCTTCGATTTATTTACTCTGTAAATTTTGACTAAAAATTATAGGAAAATATTATTAACATCTACAATGGCAAATATATACCATTAGCTAGATTCATAAAAAAAATTGAATTTATTTTTACAAGATATATATTTGTAATTGTAAATGTCCATATTGTTTTTATAAACTTATGTTAAAGATAATATGCAGAGTAAATAAAAACAGAGGAAGTATATGTGTACATCTAGGAGTAATACTATACAAGATATTGGATAATGTGTTTGCGAATAAATGCATCCCTTTCTCCCTGGAAAAGCCAAACCACCCTTTCCACAAGCCCTAATGCCAGTCAACTTTTCTATTTATCTATGGTCGCACTGCGTGCAATTATGCAAACCCACCTTACATAGACAGCGTTAAGTTAGGGTCACCAACCTGGTTACTAAACTTGTTTAATACACATTGGCCGATTATTTAGTCCTCTACACTAGCTCATCTGTTTTATGTTGGGTTCTTATTTCGTGTGTGTGGCTTGCACTTTTAAGCTTTGTGCAGATTAGAGATTAGTATCATAGTTGGATCACGGTGATGCAACCTGCACAAGGACAACAACCGTACCCTTTGCATGCATGTGTAGGTGGCTAGCTGTCTAATGTCTTTTTTTGCAGCAACATCTTCTCAGAGTCAACTGTTTGGACGGTCTTGTACTTAGCAACACCAACCACTTCCTTTTGATGGGCCAAATATAGTAGCAACCAGCTGTGTAGAGAGTCAATTTGGTTCGTATAATTAATCATTTAGTGCACTTAACAACGAACGATTTCAATCATACATACATATAGGTTATCATATAAACTATATGAACAGTACGGCAACCCCGATAAGTTCAAAGGGACAGACATGCTACGTCTCTCAGACCATGTATATGACATTAATCTGAATATCTTGGTTAGACTTAGGCCACTAGTGCTAACGAAGCATTAAACAGAGGCTGCACTGGGTAAACAAAATCAAGCATCAAACACTACACTAATGCTATACATTAATCTTGATGAGCAGATCGATTGTGGAAAAGGCAACGTTCAGAATCGAAAAAGAAAATTGAAGTTTAAAACTTGAAATGAAGAAGCTATGTTTGAAAAAGCTTATGGAAGCTCTACTAGCTAGTGATATGTAACGATAAGAAGTTGCACCATACCAGATAAGTCAAGAATATTACTAGCCCGAGAACCATACTCCTGGCGTTGCTCCCCGGGCGACGCCAGGGGCAAACCCTAGCACCACGGCCAGCCACCCAGCCAAGACTCTTCCTTCCACCGCCGTTGTTGGCCTGCGCTATAGTTGTGCGGACCCACTTGCAAACAATGGTGGTGGTTGGTGGGTCTCTTTGCTGGGTTGTGGATGCATCGTGTGTGGAAACGATGGCCGGGAGTGTGGAATCTGAGGCAGCGTGGGGTGGCCTTCTCCTCTCGCCGGCGGATATCGGTGAAGGGGTGGCATCTTGGTTCAACAATGGTCCATGGCTTGGCGCCGGTACACTGTTGGGCCTGAACCGGGCCCATGCCGGCCTGCTATCTGCACGACCAATGGCTGTGCGGACTGTCCATGATCCTAAGAATAGTGGCGGTGCCCTATCGCGACAGTTGTGCTGGCTAGGAGTATGGATGTGGCCATCGATATTGACGACCACAAGTTTAGCATTAGACGGGTGGATATGGTTACTCCATTGCTCATGTTATTTCCAACACAATCAATGATCAATTAATTACCGTGCCAAAAATCCAAGAGGCATGCAACAAGGGAAATTGAAAGATGTACGTGAGGTCACCAC